TTTTAATTTTTCTGCAGGAAAACAGTTGTATGCCCCATCATTGATGTGATTAGTGACGATACCTTTGAATATATGGCTGGGTCAGACATGACTTACGGGGGTTTTAACTGGAAATTGAATTTCCGTTGGTATCCTGTTCCCCAAAGAGAAATGGATAGGAGAAAAGGAGACAGAACATTACCTGTCAGGTATGTAGATCCTATCTTCCAAAGCATAACCTGTGTATTCCTATAATAATTAAGGTGTGTTATAAATTTGTGTACTCATTTTGTAGGATTTTAAAGGCATACACTTTTTATTCATATTTATGTATGTTATCACACTTTACATGATTGTCTAAGAATCAATGGCAATATTAAATCTAGGTTAAATTAGCACAGAATAAGTATTGGCAGAAGTGCCAATTTTTTGAAACTGTGTGTTCTTATACTCAAAATATATTTACTGTGAATTTTCTATGTGACAGATATGTACTAACCTTTATGGTACTTTAGGTAGTTATATACCTGCCTTAGTGTATATAGTTTATAATAGAGAGATCTTCAAAACTGAAATAACAAAAATGTTTTGGTAAATATTTACAATTTACCAACCTTTAAGAGCTATCTTCCTTACAGATACAAAAGAAAGATCATTTGGAAAATTTCAGTAAATTAACAATTATGAAGGGTTTATTGTTTGTTCCAAATTATTTAAAATAGCTACTTAATTTGAAATATTTATGCATAAAATATGTGTTTGCCCTTAATACAAAACAAGAACTATCAAATACATCTGTAGTTGTCTAGTAAGCAGTGTCTACTTTATTAACATAAAATTATCACCTTCTTATTTTAACACATTATTGTGTATCTCTTACTTGCAACCAAAAATTGATTTCCTGAACAATAATTGGGGAGGGAGTTCACTTATTTCACTCTTTAAAGATGAATTTGGCAAATCATCATTTGGTTGAAACAATAGAGAAGCACCTTAACATTCTAAAACAATGTTTATAACCCATTATCTTAACAAGAGTGTCTCCTAACCTACTGAGAGAATGACTCATCCATAGTTTAGACAAATTATATGATGAATTAATTAAAACTAATTCTAAAAACTGGCTAATGGAAGAGAACATCTCTAGTTGCTTATTATTGAACAATTAAATATTGAGCTCTTAAGGTGATATTAACTATGTCAAAGAGAAAAATAAAGTATAGTTCCAAACAGTTGCATAATGATGTGAAATTATGATGTCAGTATTTAAAGCGTAATTTAGTAGTTCTTAAATCTTGCTGTTATCTTCACATTCACCAAGTCCTATTGATCCTTGGCTTTAACAGCTTGAGGAAATACAATGGCTCGTATTACCATTGTTTATTTAATAGAAATCCTATTTCACAGACAGTGGTTTCATTTAGTGTTAAACAATTTTCCAGCTTCAGCTCCCAAGTGAAAATTATCAAAATACTTGACCAGTACAGTCAAATATAGATAATGTGTTTACCTGAAAATGAAGCTTAAAAGAATGTATGGGTGTACTTATTTTTTAACACGTTGACAAAAGACATGCTTTATTTAACTTTATTTTCTCATAGAGTCGAAAGTTAAATAATTAAGAGGTAGCCAGCATTCATAGTAAGAAATTACCAATCTTATTTGTAAAAGTAAAGGTCTACATATAAATCGGCCATTATTTCTCATTTTTCATTAAAACAAAAGTGGAAACATCCAAATTGCTGTATATATTTTAACCAAAATGTGTGCAGCTTTATTGCAATAACATGGAGAGGTGATGAAGTCTAGGCAGATTTTATTTGTTTGCCTCAGTAACTGCACAGTATTTCACTGTGAGGGAGCAGTATTTCAGTGCTGTGGGAGTTGAAACAAGAGAAACAGAGAAAGTTCAGTCTTTGCTGAAGTTTCTAGATTTTTATGGCAAAAGGTTAATTAATTCACTGGCTGTGTTGTAACAGCCTGCAGGTAATTTTCATCAGCATAGCTGTAATGTGAACTTTCTTTGCACTTGTAATCTATTACTTGAAGATGTGATCATTTTTCTCACATTCATACAAACAGATAAATCATTCTAGGTGTTAAAGACAATTTTTTTCCCTACATGATTAACAGAATTCTGAATAACTAAAGTGATTAAAATGAGGTTGGAATTTTAGTTTTCTTAGCAGAATGCCTCATTTAAAATGTCAGTTATGACAACTTTCTAGTGACTGTAATTGGCTAGTTAGTCATCATTTAGAAATACAATCATGCATCTGCACACATAGAGAAGCAACTTGAACTTGTGCCCTAATCTTAGTTACACCACATTTAAAGTAAAGTTTGTAATGGTTATACTTATTATTCTATTGTCAACTTTTGGGCTTTGATATTTTCTTTTTGATAATTAAATGGATTTTGTGAATATTTGCCATTTGTGAAGTTATGAGTATGGAATAATAACATACATAATACAGCTCTGTTCTTTCTGTTTAGTTTTCTTTCATCAGTAAACTGTCCTTGACATTTTGGTGGTCAAATTAAATGACTCCTCAGGAAAATCTCAATTATATATGCAACAATACAGTCATCAAATTGTTAAACCAGAGGTCATAAACTAGAAGCTTGTGTGTCAAATACGCTCTGCAGATATGTTTTCTTTGGCCTGTACAATGTTTTGCATTTTAAAAAATTACCAACATTTTAAAAATGAGGTGTTTTAAATTTAAGAAATCTAGATTTCCAGCTATTCTTGAGAAGTCAGAAGATCTTGCTACAATGGTCTGGTCTTTCTGCTTGGCACCATCAGGAGCTGAATAGAAGCTGCCCACATAGAAATGGCTTGAAAGTTTAGCCCAATCCCCCGATTCCTTGTGGGTATGTGTCCCTGACTCTAAGGCTGAGGCTCAGTTGCCATTTTTCATTCTTGCCCTTGGAGAAGTATTTCTCTGTACTTGTGTCCCAATCAAACGTGAGAGAAACATGTTTATTGCAACTAATCCACTTCACATATTAGCTTTATTTGTGTGGCTATAATATTTTAAATTAGTGACCCTTGACTTAGAGGCTACTGCCTGGAAAATGGCTGAGTTGGGAAGTCATCAAACACACTAGCCTTGTTACCTACCTAATGGAATGGATGACTAGGAGCATAAGTTACCTGGTAGTGTTGATAACCTCACAAATCATTTCCTTAAGTGGGAGTGTAGTATGCATTTTTTTTCTTATACCTGTAACTTTGACTTGATGGGTTCAGGCTACTGAAATGAGTTGGCTTCCATATGCACATGCACGTGCGTACACACTGTTGAGCATTGTGCTAGGTTCTACACATACAGAGATGAAGAAGGCTCTCTCTACTCTAAAGTTCCTCACTGACAGGCACTGGCCATTAAGTATGCAGGGTAAGGGGAAAAGTCCAGCATAAGCGGCCAGAGAGTGGATGTAGAGGAGTTAAACTATATCAAATGATAGAGTGGTGGGTGCTTCTGGAAAAGAACCGGTATCTTTAATCTTACTGATTGTGTTAGTCTCTTAATTATGCCCTGTAAGTAACCCTAAATAAATAGTTATAGAGATACTTGTTTCTACTTTAACTTCCCACTGATTAAAATACATTACTTAATTAAAGGCCAACCAGTTATTTATCAAGTCTACTTATCTGCCTTTACCCTTTGGTCCCACCTTATGGACTCTTGATATTTTGTCATTATTAATATTCTTAGTATGACTTCCTTCATTCTTACTTTGAGTACCATGTTCAGTATTTTTCTAAAGCAAAATAAAAATTTTAGATTTTCTTCTAGTCCTTGCTATCATAATAAGTTAAACATATATGTAATTACAAGTTTTTATTTCTGACACATTTGACTTCCCTTTATCCATTTTATTAACATTTGTCTGATCTCAGACCTTTATTTTTGTCTCCATTGGAATTAGGAATTTATAAAGAAGATCAAATAGATTAAAAAACATTATTAATAACAACTCAGATTACAATTATTGTGAAAAACTCTTAGGATGTTCAAATATATTATCTTTTGTATCCTTCTAGTATGATATTGTAGAAGTGTTGAAGCTGACTTTTAATGATCTGGGTTTTAGTTCAAGTTCCTTCTATTGGTAATTTACCCATTCTTCTCAACTATAAAATGGAAAATTATTCTCACTGCCTTGTTTACCTTGTAAAGTGCTATACAATATTAAATGAGAAAAAAATTATTTTAAATTTATTTCTGATAATCTAAGTAACATGTATATACATTGAAAAGTAAATGTGACAAGTATCTATAAATGTAAAGAAGCAAAACACCAATAAGCCACTTCTTTTAGTATTTTGTACTATTTCCTTTCAGAGCATTTCTTTCCAGATATATTTCTCCACAGTTTAAAAATTGATGTATCATTAATATTTTTCTATTTGCTTGTGAAAAAACTTTAATGGCTGTTAATATGTCAATTATTTACTTAGTTCTTTCTCTATATTTTATAGTCTAAAGTAAATTAAGAATTTTACACTTTTTTGCCAGTTACGTCTGTGATCTAGTTTTTGCATATAATGTGGTCTTTTTAGAATTATGCAATTAAGCAATATGAAATTTGTTTCAATATTCTTGATACCTTCAGCCAGTTTGATTTTCTCCTCCCCAAATCATCACTGACTCCAACTTAAGGTTCCTCTAGTAAGTACACTAAGTGAAAACACTTATTTTATTTTGTAAAATCTTACACAAATATAAGACATTTCTTAGTATTTAATAGCAACTAATAATATATTTCTTAATTTTATCTGTCAGATTTTCTTTATTTTCCTCAGTCCAATGGAGCTACACTTTGAAATTGAAGGGAAGAAGCAGAGACAGATAAATCCTGTGAGATAGATATTCACAATAGAAGCTCACTAAAGCAACAGCACAGGGGAAGGTCAGGTTGTACATAGAACAGACTTTGAAAGAGAGAGTTGAACTTTGGATGTTCAGCAGTTCAACATTCTCTCCTACTTTTGTTAAAAATCTAACATATGTTGACTTTGAGAGAAAAAAAATTCCACTTCAGGTGGAATCTGTGTATCTATGTTCTTTGGAGAAAATGGCATATTTATGGTACATTACTTCCTAATGGTTTAGGGGACAATTTACAAGACTCCTTGCAATCTGTTGAGAAGAAAACAGGGGTGTTACAGAAAGTTTTCAGGGTGGTGAATTGAATA